ATCCGAAAGGGAAATAAAATGCAGAAGGACGTGTACCTTTAGTATCTGTCTATATTTCTGAGATGTTGTATTATGTACATTATTTACAGTATTCGAACTATTGTCCTCATCTTTGTCGTCATATATTTTACAACGTTTCGGCCGTTGTACGCTCCGGCCTTCATCAGTATCTGTCTATATTTCTGAGATGTTGTATTATGTACATTATTTACAGTATTCGAACTATTGTCCTCATCTTTGTCGTCATATTTATTACAACGTTTCGGCCGTTGTACGCTCCGGCCTTCATCAGTATCTGTCTATATTTCTGAGATGTTGCATTATGTACATTATTTACAGTATTCGAACTATTGTCCTCATCTTTGTCGTCATATTTATTACAACGTTTCGGCCGTTGTACGCTCCTGTCTTCTTCAGTATCTGTCTATATTTCTGAGATGTTATATTATGTACATTATTTACAGTATTCGAACTATTGTCCTCATCTTTGTCGTCATATTTATTACAACGTTTCGGCCATTGTACGCTCCGGACTTCTTCAGGTGTTTGGAATGTCGAACTGAACCCTTTATTTCGCTCACTGGGGTAGACTGTTCTAGTTCCACGTGTCATGTTTAATGGATGTCAGTTATCAGTTATCTCCTGTTAATTTTTCTCTGAAAGTTCTCCACCGCCTTAACCGTGTATAGAACTCACACTCTTTGGGTCCTGTCACTGTCTAACTAACGCCTTTATCCACTGTGCCATGTGTCCTTGAGGATATGTTATCCAAAATAAATAGGCTTAAATTTACCTTCATCTCTGTCGTGTGCCAACGGCTTACGGGTAAATTATCCGATCGACGCCAATTCAGACGGGTTTCGATCCTAGCTAGAGGCAACCGGACGTCTAGCCACACTGTTGAGCTGTGATACAGCGAGACAGTCCGTCTGTGGGTAACAATACATACATATATATATATATATATATATAATTATTTATTTTTAAAAATTTATAACATAAATATGTTATAAAATCACTACAAAAATAGCCATTTTGTTTCAACACTCTCAGTGTCTTATCAAGTGATGATGTTGAATGTAAAATAAATGGTTTTAAAAGTTTCGAATTAATTAACAATCCTTCACAAGGGGAAAACGTTGTTACAAATGCTTGATGGACCAATCAAAATACAAGTATAGGAAAATTCAAAAAGCTTGACAACGAAGTCATGTTATAATAGCTATTCAAATATTTAAAATATGGGTAGTATTAAAAAAGAATTTATTCTAATCAATAATTACTAAATTATATGATAAAGTTTAATATTAAAATTAAAAACTGCTAATTTCAAGATCAAAATTTAATTGCTATTAAGTTTACTGAGGAGAAAAGAAGAAATATATATGTTATTCAATTTATTTCTTCATTGAAGTTACTTTAGCTAATTTTATATCCGGTCTTTTGACAATGTATCCATTTTATATACTTGTATATATATATATATATATATATATATATATATATATATATATATATATATATATATATATAAAATAAAGGACCTATATTGGCATCAAACTGCCCACGTACGGACAGAAAATGAGTTCGGCTGATATGAAAAAATAGAAAGGGGTATAAGGCAAGGATGTGTCTTCTCACCGGACTTATTCAAACTATACAGCGAGACAATCCTGAGAGAACTGGGAGTACTACCAATATTTATTACCGTTGGCCACAATCTTAACAGCATAAGATATGTTTATAGCAGATAGAGAAAGAAAACTACAAAAACTCCTACAGGAGATAGTGAAGAAAAGCGAAAAGAAAGGATTAAACATCAACTGCAAGAAGACAGAATGCATGGTTGTTAGCAAAAGGGGTGAGACCAAAATGCGAATTGCAAATCAGGAATACGAAAATCAATTAAGTACCGATATTTAAACATCTGGGAAGTGTTTTAACAGAGGACGGAATATGTGACACTGAAATGAGAAGGCGTATTGGAATAGCGAAACATAAGTATAGTACTAAGAATTAGAAAAATATCAATAGTAACCAGGAAATTAGTACTAAATCTCCTCACTGATGAAGAAGAGACTTGAAGCAACAGAAATATAGTTCTACAGAAGGATACTGAGGATAATTTGGACCGAACATGTGAGCAACAACGAAGTCTTAGAGAAATGGGAAACAAAATGGAAAATTATACTCAAAGTTAGGAAGAGACAATTGAAATTTCTACGGCATAAAATGAGAAAAGACGGTTCGGAAAATCTGATACACACAGGACATGCAAGAGACACAGAGGAAAATAACGCATGACATATTTAATGAGCTTGAGTAAATGGGTGGCGGAACAGAGTTTAGGGGAAATAACAGAAAGACAAGGTTTATTAAGGGCTACAATGGATAGGAAGTTGTGGAAAGCCATGATCACCTACGTCCTGATGAAACAGGTTACATAAAGAAGATTGCAATATTTTGCAAATTTTAACGAAATAATAGAGGAATTCGATATATGTTATATAATTCTTGTGGGGCTGCAATGAGCTTATTAATTTAAGAATTAAGCTTCATAAGGTAGCGTCGAACAGCGTGAAGAATGGACTAAGCATAAACTGCAAGAAAACAGAATGCATGTTCATCAGTAAAAGGATGAACCCGAAATGCGATTTACAGGTCGGGAACACTAGAATCAAGCAGACGCAGAAGTTTAAATATCTGGGAAGGATTCTGACAAAGCACAGTAAATGCGACACTGAGATCCATAAACATATTGAAATGGCCAAGGACGCATTTCAAAAGCTAGGCAGAGTATTGCAAGACCGGAGGATTTCTTTGGTAATGAAAACAAGAATACTGACCTGTTACATGACACTTGCCCTTCTTTACGGCAGTGAATGCTGGACGATTTCCTTAAAGATGAAGAAGAGACTCGAGGCGACGGAGACGTGGTTCTACAGAAGGATGCTAAGCATATCATGAACTGGACGTGTGAGCAACGATGAGATCTTAGAGAGGAGGCAATCAAGGAGGAGTCTTATACTTAACATCAGGAAGAGGCAGCTTAAATGTCTGCGACATATAATGCGGATGGAGGGCCTGGAGAATCTGATACTCAAGGTTCGAATAAGGGGAAAAGAGCGACAACGGAAAACAATGCATGACATTCCTAGCGGTCTTAAGCAAATGGATGACAGAACGTGGTCTGAGGAGACAGCAGCCGGAAGGAACTGATTGGGTTGGGTTGAATAGAGGGAAAGAGAGACAAGGGAAAACAACGCATGACATACCTAGAGGGCTTATGCATGTGGATGACAGAACATGGTCTGCGGGAGGTGGCAGATGGAAGGAACTTGTGAGCTGCAAGAAACAGAGGGAGATGGAGAACCATGATCGCCTACGTCTTGAAAGGACACAGCATATAGAAAGATAGTTCAAATATGAAAGTGGTTCAGTTATCAAGTTATCTATTAATAATTTCTTTTCTTTTTTTTGAGTATTCTTGAGTCTCTTGTGTACTTGAAAACATTTCGAGAAATGAGTCTTGTGAATGTAAATAATCTTATGGTAATTTTTCTGTTCAGACTTCACTTTAGGAAGAAGTCGTTTTAAAAATTTTGCTCGTGACGCGAGATGATCTGCCAGCTCAGTATTTCACCGTAGCTGAAAATCAATTTAATTATATTAAGTCATTGATTTACTTTGTCGAAAGACGATTCCGTGTGTTCAATATGCAATGTCATAAATTTACCTTAGCGGAAAATGATTTGCTCAAAGAAAGCATTTAGTGACAAAAATCCAGTTCAATTATTTTAATGACTGAGACATATTTTCCACTTGTCGTCGTTGGGTGCGCATGATCTTTTATTGATAATGAAATAAAATAAAATGTTATCCGAACAAATAATATTCGGCGACTGACAAATGTTCATCAATGTTTTAATCTTTAATAGATCGTTTGCCTGTTGGCTATTCGTTTCATTAATTAATATTTAGCGTTTCGGCAAAATGATTGATTTCCGTTTGTTTAAGGAATTATATAGGCCAAGTTAACAGAAACAGACAATCCATTTGACGACTTCTGCTAAGATGTTAGACTAGGAAACGAAATAAAAAGAAATAAAGGTGGGGGGGCAGATTTGAAACGATTTTGGGGATTTGATTCCAAGAAAAGTCAAAATAAGACAGTTAGAGAGAGAGAAATGGAGAGAGAGAGAGAAGTGGAGAGAGAGAGAAGTGGAGAGAGAGAAGTGGAGAGAGAGAGAGAAGTGGAGGGAGAAATGGAGAAAGGGAAATGGAGAGAGTGAGAGAAATGGGGAGAGTGAGAAATGAAGAGAGAGAAATGGCGAGAGAGAAGTGGAGAGAGATAGACAAATGGAAAGAGAGAGGGAAAATACTTTATGAAACAGATTGTAATATATCTTTAAAGATCTTTACAAACTATCAAAATACAAGGATTTTGAAGTGGAAACTTAAATGATATGCCATATGAGGACATCAATACTTCAATTTCTGGTTGGATCTTGAAATGGATATCTAAATATGTGGCACATAATTTCAGTTGTAGTTGGAGCCCTCAGATTGATTGGAAAACATTCCAATAGACTCATTGAAGGGATTCCTGGTATCCCATGCTTTAAAGAAATACAAACAATTGTTCTCACCAGTACAGCCCACATTTTTCCAGGGGCTTTATCTATGTAAAACATCTTTTTGTTTTTTTGTTTTTTTTAATTTAAATGCTCAGTGGAAAATGTCATGATGGCATTTCTGAAATTTATCTTCTGAGCGGGAACCGGATAGAAATGAGTACACACCAGAAATCAAAGGAAATAATAACAATAATAATAATAATAATAATAATAATAATAATAATGGGTCAACCCTATATTATTCATGCAACTGACCGGAGGGTTGCTGAAATTCATGGTATTTGAAACCGCGGATAAAGAAGACCACTCAGACCTCATTAAATTTATTAACATGTCCCCCATTGCTGAGAAGTGCCCAGTACAATGACGTTTATGTTTGCTAAAAATCATTATTATTCAAAAACTTATTCGGAATATTCGTTTGTACTGGTTTTTATTAACACATTTCCTTAGCTCTAAAGATTGTAAAAATAGTAAAAAGGGGCGTTTCTTTCTGATTAATTTGGGGCTAAAAATACTGGCTAATTCATCATGGCTCTCCACAATTTCTTATACTTTGTAGCTCTTAGAAATCATTGCCTTCTTTTTTACTATCCTTTCTTGTTCTGAAACCATTTACACAAGGGAGGTCACTCGCTGTTTCCCGCTATCAAGCTTGCCTTTTGGGGACCTGTAAATTCTCCAAGTCACCTTTTGTCATGATATGACCTAGAAATTATAATTGTATCCTTCTTATTTTAGGCATAAGTGTATTTTTCGTTTTCATTTTCCTGAAAACATCCTCGTTAATCCTATATTGTTTTCGTGGAATTCTCAATATCCATCTGTAGAACAATATCTCAGTAGCTTCAAAATTCTTCAACCGTGAAGAAATTGTCCAGCATTCACTGTGGATTATTCAAGGTTTATTTACACCACTACTTCCATTCTCACTATCTCTTTCTTCTCGCTCACTCTCTCCGCCTCCTCTTTCATCTTTTCCTCCTTCTCCTACTCCTCTTCCTCCTCCGTTGAATTCTTCTTTCTTTTTTCTTACTGCTCTTCCTTTTGTTTCCTCTGCACAACCTACGGCTCTTGTTTTGATCGTCTGCCTTCATTTTCTCCTCCACCATTTCCTTCACTCTCCTCCTCCTCTTCCTCTTCCTTCCTCTTCCCATTCGTCCTCTCGTTCATTAACTCCTCCTCCTCATTCTTTGTCTTCACCTCTCTCTATTTCTGCATCTCCTCCTCCCGCTTCTTATTCATGTTTGGCTCTAGTTCTGTTTCTTATTCTCCTACTTTTCCTCCTCCTCCTACATCATCATCTGTTCAGTTTCCTATCCTTCCTCTTCCTTCTTCACTGCCTCCTCCTTTTTTTCTTTACTCCGTGTCCTCAACCTCTAATTATTCTCCTCTTACTCATTCTTAGACGCTTTCTTCGCCACCTTTTTATCCTCCTCTTACTATTCTCCCTCTTTTGCTCTGGGTAAGACGTTAAACTACATCCAGCAGAAAGACCTCTGATCAGAAGGTTTCGAGGAGCGTTGAACAACCTCTTAATTGCTGTTGTTCCCAGGTCCAAACTGATCCGCACCTGTTAGGGCCCCATCTATGAACAAATAGTAAACTATTACCAGCAATACTTTTTTGAAAAAAATATTATCAGCAATACAACTTTGAAGGAAAAATATTAACAGCAACAGAGTTTTGATGAAACAAAATGTTACTGGCAATAAAAAAAATCCACTGAAGTTGATACGCCGCCGTAAAACAAAATAAACCAATTCAATCGAAACCGAAGAATACATATTCTATTCATATGAATCTGTCCTAAAAATGTTGCCGGCATTAAATAACCCATTGAGGCTGATATGCCGAAAACAAAATAAACCAATTCAATCGAAACCGAAGAATACATATTCTATTCATATGAATCTGTCCTAAAAAAATGTTGTCGGCATTAAATAACCCATTGAGGCTGATATGCCGAAAACAAAATAAACCAATTCAATCGAAACCGAAGAATACATATTCTATTCATATGAATCTGTCCTAAAAATGTTGTCGGCATTAAATAACCCATTGAGGCTGATATGCCGAAAACAAAATAAACCAATTCAATCGAAACCGAAGAATACATATTCTATTCATATGAATCTGTCCTAAAAATGTTGTCGGCATTAAATAACCCATTGAGGCTGATATGCCGAAAACAAAATAAACCAATTCAATCGAAACCGAAGAATACATATTCTATTCATATGAATCTGTCCTAAAAATGTTGCCGGCATTAAATAACCCATTGAGGCTGATATGCCGAAAACAAAATAAACCAATTCAATCGAAACCGAAGAATACATATTCTATTCATATGAATCTGTCCTAAAAATGTTGTCGGCATTAAATAACCCATTGAGGCTGATATGCCGAAAACAAAATAAACCAATTCAATCGAAACCGAAGAATACATATTCTATTCATATGAATCTGTCCTAAAAATGTTGTCGGCATTAAATAACCCATTGAGGCTGATATGCCGAAAACAAAATAAACCAATTCAATCGAAACCGAAGAATACATATTCTATTCATATGAATCTGTCCTAAAAATGTTGTCGGCATTAAATAACCCATTGAGGCTGATATGCCGAAAACAAAATAAACCAATTCAATCGAAACCGAAGAATACATATTCTATTAATATGAATCTGTCCTAAAAATGTTGTCGGCATTAAATAACCCATTGAGGCTGATATGCCGAAAACAAAATAAACCAATTCAATCGAAACCGAAGAATACATATTCTATTCATATGAATCTGTCTAAAAATGTTGTCGGCATTAAATAACCCATTGAGGCTGATATGCCGAAAACAAAATAAACCAATTCAATCGAAACCGAAGAATACATATTCTATTCATATGAATCTGTCCTAAAAAATGTTGTCGGCATTAAATAACCCATTGAGGCTGATATGCCGAAAACAAAATAAACCAATTCAATCGAAACCGAAGAATACATATTCTATTCTATTAATATGAATCTGTCCTAAAAATGTTGTCGGCATTAAATAACCCATTGAGGCTGATATGCCGAAAACAAAATAAACCAATTCAATCGAAACCGAAGAATACATATATTCTATTCATATGAATCTGTCCTCGAAAAAAATGTTGCCGGCATTAAATAACCCATTGAGGCTGATATGCCGAAAACAAAATAAACCAATTCAATCGAAACCGAAGAATACATATTCTATTCATATGAATCTGTCCTAAAAATGTTGTCGGCATTAAATAACCCATTGAGGCTGATATGCCGAAAACAAAATAAACCAATTCAATCGAAACCGAAGAATACATATTCTATTCATATGAATCTGTCCTAAAAATGTTGTCGGCATTAAATAACCCATTGAGGCTGATATGCCGAAAACAAAATAAACCAATTCAATCGAAACCGAAGAATACATATTCTATTCATATGAATCTGTCCTAAAAATGTTGTCGGCATTAAATAACCCATTGAGGCTGATATGCCGAAAACAAAATAAACCAATTCAATCGAAACCGAAGAATACATATTCTATTCATATGAATCTGTCCTAAAAAATGTTGTCGGCATTAAATAACCCATTGAGGCTGATATGCCGAAAACAAAATAAACCAATTCAATCGAAACCGAAGAATACATATTCTATTCATATGAATCTGTAAAAAATGTTGTCGGCATTAAATAACCCATTGAGGCTGATATGCCGAAAACAAAATAAACCAATTCAATCGAAACCGAAGAATACATATTCTATTCATATGAATCTGTCCTAAAAATGTTGTCGGCATTAAATAACCCATTGAGGCTGATATGCCGAAAACAAAATAAACCAATTCAATCGAAACCGAAGAATACATATTCTATTCATATGAATCTGTCCTAAAAATGTTGTCGGCATTAAATAACCCATTGAGGCTGATATGCCGAAAACAAAATAAACCAATTCAATCGAAACCGAAGAATACATTCTATTCATATGAATCTGTCCTAAAAATGTTGTCGGCATTAAATAACCCATTGAGGCTGATATGCCGATAAAACAAAATAAACCAATTCAATCGAAACCGAAGAATACATATTCTATTCATATGAATCTGTCCTAAAAATGTTGTCGGCATTAAATAACCCATTGAGGCTGATATGCCGAAAACAAAATAAACCAATTCAATCGAAACCGAAGAATACATATTCTATTCATATGAATTGTCCTAAAAAATGTTGTCGGCATTAAATAACCCATTGAGGCTGATATGCCGAAAAACAAAATAAACCAATTCAAAAACAAAATAAACCAATTCAAAAACCGAAGAATACATATTCTATTAATATGAATCTGTCCTAAAAATGTTGTCGGCATTAAATAACCCATTGAGGCTGATATGCCGAAAACAAAATAAACCAATTCAATCGAAACCGAAGAATACATATTCTATTCATATGAATCTGTCCTAAAAATGTTGCCGGCATTAAATAACCCATTGAGGCTGATATGCCGAAAACAAAATAAACCAATTCAATCGAAACCGAAGAATACATATTCTATTCATATGAATCTGTCCTAAAAAATGTTGTCGGCATTAAATAACCCATTGAGGCTGATATGCCGAAAACAAAATAAACCAATTCAATCGAAACCGAAGAATACATATTCTATTCATATGAATCTGTCCTAAAAATGTTGCCGGCATTAAATAACCCATTGAGGCTGATATGCCGAAAACAAAATAAACCAATTCAATCGAAACCGAAGAATACATATTCTATTCATATGAATCTGTCCTAAAAATGTTGTCGGCATTAAATAAGCCATTGAGGATGATATGCCGAAAACAAAAATAAACCAATTCAATCGAAACCGAAGAATACATATTCTATTCATATGAATCTGTCCTAAAAATGTTGTCGGCATTAAATAACCCATTGAGGCTGATATGCCGAAAACAAAATAAACCAATTCAATCGAAACCGAAGAATACATATTCTATTCATATGAATCTGTCCTAAAAATGTTGTCGGCATTAAATAACCCATTGAGGCTGATATGCCGAAAAAAAATAAACCAATTCAATCGAAACCGAAGAATACATATTCTATTCATATGAATCTGTCCTAAAAATGTTGTTCGGCATTAAATAACCCATTGAGGCTGATATGCCGAAAACAAAATAAACCAATTCAATCGAAACCGAAGAATACATATTCTATTCATATGAATCTGTCCTAAAAATGTTGCCGGCATTAAATAACCCATTGAGGCTGATATGCCGAAAACAAAATAAACCAATTCAATCGAAACCGAAGAATACATATTCTATTCATATGAATCTGTCCCAAAAAATGTTGTCGGCATTAAATAACCCATTGAGGCTGATATGCCGAAAACAAAATAAACCAATTCAATCGAAACCGAAGAATACATATTCTATTCATATGAATCTGTCCTAAAAATGTTGTCGGCATTAAATAACCCATTGAGGCTGATATGCCGAAAACAAAATAAACCAATTCAATCGAAACCGAAGAATACATATTCTATTAATATGAATCTGTCCTAAAAATGTTGTCGGCATTAAATAACCCATTGAGGCTGATATGCCGAAAACAAAATAAACCAATTCAATCGAAACCGAAGAATACATATTCTATTAATATGAATCTGTCCTAAAAATGTTGCCGGCATTAAATAACCCATTGAGGCTGATATGCCGAAAACAAAATAAACCAATTCAATCGAAACCGAAGAATACATATTCTATTCATATGAATCTGTCCTAAAAATGTTGTCGGCATTAAATAACCCATTGAGGCTGATATGCCGAAAACAAAATAAACCAATTCAATCGAAACCGAAGAATACATATTCTATTCATATGAATCTGTCCTAAAAATGTTGCCGACATTAAATAACCCATTGAGGCTGATATGCCGAAAACAAAATAAACCAATTCAATCGAAACCGAAGAATACATATTCTATTCATATGAATCTGTCCTAAAAAATGTTGTCGGCATTAAATAACCCATTGAGGCTGATATGCCGAAAACAAAATAAACCAATTCAATCGAAACCGAAGAATACATATTCTATTAATATGAATCTGTCCTAAAAATGTTGTCGGCATTAAATAACCCATTGAGGCTGATATGCCGAAAACAAAATAAACCAATTCAATCGAAACCGAAGAATACATATTCTATTCATATGAATCTGTCCTAAAAATGTTGCCGGCATTAAATAACCCATTGAGGCTGATATGCCGAAAACAAAATAAACCAATTCAATCGAAACCGAAGAATACATATTCTATTCATATGAATCTGTCCTAAAAAATGTTGTCGGCATTAAATAAGCCATTGATGATATGCCGAAAACAAAA